GAGCAGAAACAGGTTTGTTCTTGAACATCTCTCTCAATTAAGCCCAGGACGCTTCCAAATGGAAATTTGCCCATTTTGTTGCACTAGTAGATCCAGTATAAAATAATGTGATGGTTTTTAATAACACCATTTATCCAACCTTTAAGATAGGATTCGCATATCCTTCAGATATGACCCAACAAAAGAAGATATCACTGATATAACAATTTGTAAGGAGACTCCTCTACCGAGTGCCAGCTCTATGTACTCATACATATGTGCACACACACATACACACAGTGACAGACTCATGACAGTGTTGACCTAGCTCCTGGCAATCAAAGAGAACTCTCCCTTCTATTTACTCAAGCAGTGTGTTAAAGAAAATGCAAGCCAAAGATCTGGAGGTGGGTCTTCAAATAATGTATTTGATAAGCCTCAACCTGCACAGCTCCAGGCAGCCTAGGAAGGGCCGATGGGTGACAATTATCATAAAGCTAATCTCCAATCCATATTAAGTACAAACTTTTACCATAAATCAGAGTTAATTAAGCAGAATGGACTCTATTACTGTAGGCTGTTTGACTTCTGGAAAAGATGTAAATAGATGTAAGCCTTTAACAGACTTGTTCAACTCCTTGTATGCATTAAGTACTTTGCCAGATCCCTGTCCTCTCAAGTTTCAGAAAAGGAATAGGAACCTGGTGTAGGCAGAAGAGACAACAAGGGGCACAAGATTATCTTAAATAATGTTATTGCTCCCAACACTTAGAACACTGTCTGACACACAGCAGGTACTCAGTAAATATCTAATGGAATAATTAGACATTTATTACACTGCATTATAAGCGTATGCAACAGCACCAACAGAATCAACAAGATATGTGCAGAGGAAAGAGGTGAATTCTGCCCGAGCAGGTGAGGACAGACTTCCCAGAAGCAGTGACGTCAGAGCGGCCCTTTCCTGAAGGAGCAGCTTTTCACCAGGCAGTGGCTGCAGGAGGAGGAAAGCCATGTAGACAGCAGTATGCCCAAATTCAGGCTGGAGCAGATGGTCAGAGCTACTTTCCAATTCAAACTCCTACAAGGGTTCTATTTCGTGGGGTTCTGTTGTGCTTCATCATCTCCTTCGAACCATCAAGTATAAAAGATTACATACAGAAGGGTTGTTGTGCTTCTCTACCAGGAAATTAGCTAAAAGCAACCAGCAGGTAACAAAAAAATAACTGCTGCAGAAATGTTTTCTTATTTACCAGGCAGTGAATCTGTAAGATTTTTACATAGACCTTCTGAGAGAGAATAAGCCACTTTGAAAACAAACCGCTGTCCTTTATTTTTCTTCTTCTTGTTCACACACATTAAGTGCTATTTATTTGAATGCTAAATTAATTTTGTTCTAAAGACTAAATAATACTCAACAAACATAATTTAAATAATGAAACATGTGCTGTCCAAAGTCTGCATGCTCTTAAATCCATCCCTTGTTTTTCTGTTTGTCACAGCAGTGGGGCTGGCCCGCAGCTCCTTTCTCAGGCTCCTCTGTCACCTCAGTTACAGCTTGGTTGAGCATGGGAGACACTGGAAAGAGACAGGAGGGCAGGAGGAAAGGAGAACCCAGGGTGTTTCTCACCACCATGGGTGGCATTTTCGGCAGTAGCTGCATCTTCCCTGCAATTATTTTTCTTCTTCTTTCCCTGATAAAGTTGTTAAATTGGTTCATGCAAAAACTACCTGATTCCCAAAAGAAGAAAATCAAAGCATTTCATAGTCGCTTCTTCCTCCCGGGGGATAACACTGGGGAGGCAAGTAAAGCATCTGAAAGAGAACGGAATCTAAAATTCAGAACAGAGTGTTAAATAAAAATTATGAGAGACCATTGTTTTCAACGAAGCTCCTGCACTAGGCCTCAACAGACTAGACTAGAAATCAAAATGGAGTCCTCTAACACAAACTCAGTATTTGTCTAACCTTCCAAGAAATCAGGAGAGAAATAACAGCCAATTTCTCAAGCCGGCCAGTTTAAATCGTCAAGAAAGCCAATCAAGAGCTTCAATAGGCAAAGTAATGAAGTTCCCTCTGCTTTAATCCTGAGGTAAAATAATCAGTTATTTTTCTATGATTCTGTCTCCCTGTCCCCACCTTACAAGGAAAATAACTTGGAAATGACTAATCCACTTTTTCTGTTGTTTGTTTCTTCTTTCTTCAGCACTTTCTTCTGTCTATAATGTCAACTTCTTTTGCTCAGCTCACTTGAAGGCTTAACCTATTTTATGGAATGAAGTATTGCCCGATTCTAGAATCTCAATAAAGCCAATGGAGATCTTGAATCTAAATTTGTTGTCATTTTGTCCTTTGACAAGAGGAAAGTTAAAGTGAAAAAATGAGAACAAGGGAAAACAGCAATG